ATTTTAACCATTTTTAGGAATTTAAAATTTACTACTTAGGTATGAAAATAGATTTTACGATAATGCTAAGAAAGTTTTACAATAAAATTACATGTTATGATAAAATTTTAAGGGGCATCTTAATTGGATTGTTTAAAGTTGCAACCTTATAAAAACCGCATCCCTTAAAGATTGATGCAAATAGGTGGTCCATCTAAAAACAATTGAATCTAATGGTTCGAATGTTTTTTTCAATATAATTATTATTTTAAAATTTTAAAATTTATTTATTTATCATATTTATGATCTTCGTGATAAAGATTATATGTTCTCTAAAAATTAGGACCAAATTATATTTCAAAAATATATTTATTGCCAAGCCCGCATTTCTACATATGCGGGCTTGGCCACATGTTAACCACGTTCAATGAAAAATAACCAGAAGGCCCCCTTTTTGTTTTTTGGGTAAATAGAAGGCCCCTCTATTTTTTATTTTTATTTTTATTTATTTTTAATAATTTTCATCATCAACCTAGGCGTAAGTACTGATCTGTTTTGGTTTGCCGCGCGCTTCAATTACAGTGGTTCAAATTCCCTGAACGTAAGCACACCATTTGGATCTATCTGTTCAAAATGCTTTTAAACTCTAACTCTAATTTCTCTCTAGACTTTGCATGGAAGTGGGGCTTCTTCTTCATCTCTGAGAAAGCTCAAAGCTCATAGTCAGATCCTTGATTGAGTTATCAGGCCTAACAATGTTCGGTAATGATTCTATCACAGGAGAATCTCCATCCAGGTATGAGTTTTAACAAAAAATTGGAATATTATTGTTCTTTATTTTTCTTTTTTACTTATCTAGTCTGGTTTGGATACCTAATTTTGGTTCGAAATCCCATGGTAATTTTCATCATCTGGTTCAAGTAAAGAACGAGACATTCCTGAATCTGGTTTTTCTTACCCAAATTTCGTTGATTACGGGAGCTAAAGAACAGGGCCATAATCGATGGTGAATAGTCACAGAGTTTTCTTAGTTTATCGTTGTACAGACATGCAAGAATGCATAAATTCATGGATGCACTAGCTGTTCATTTAGGCACATATTTCATGATCACATACAGCAATGGTTTTTCCTTTAATCAAAAGAAGATAAATTTGATGGTGGTTTATTTTTAGGCATGAACTGTTGAGTATAGTGAGAAAGCACTCAAAATTATTGGGGAAGACTACGGTTGACGATGAAGATGCTTCAGACCCTGAAATGGATGCAAGGTTTTGGCAGAAAATGTTTGACATGTATTGCATTCAGGGTAGAGAGTTTAAGGCACGGCAGGACGATGATCTCATCTTTTTCGTGAGACACATGGTTTGCCATTTAATCTTGGTCGTTTATTTGACATCATTTTTTTCCCTTTTCTGTATTGGTACTTTGGAGTATGTGGTTATGCTATACTTGTGTGAAACGAAACAAGCTATGCATTGGTATATCTATCTGCCCCATAATCGATACATATCCTTTGATGGGTAGATGGATATGTTACAATTATGGGGATCAAAATGTGGTAGAATTTTATATGGGTATTCTTATATCATCAAGTGTGTACTTATGATTAGTGTGTGAGATTTTGTGTTTGATATTTTTCAATTTTAGAAGTCAAATGTGGTTTTCTTTTCTTTATCATGTTTTTCATCAGAATGATGACATGATGGCACTCATAAAGGACTATACTGATGCAGGGTTTGTATCATGGGTATGGTTTCAATGATTCTATGGAGGAAGTTCCTCCTTATTTCGTCCGCAGGTGGGCGCCAGAGGTAAATGATACATAATAAAATTATAAGTTTTATATACATTTTCGAGATCAGAATTGTGAATTTTCTCAATTGATGCCTGGATATATTTTGTGCTTTTAGGCATCATGTTTGAATTTGTACTTGGTCACATTTTTCTATCTCTATGAGGGAAGCTTTCCTTTGGCTGGCAATAGATTTCATGATGGATTCCTTTGGAATTCACATCCAATATGATTAATTGTACTATTATATATACTCTCTCTCTCTCTCTCTCTGTCTCTCTCTCGATGGCAGTAGAACAGGACTGGTATTCCATTCACCATTGTACGATTGCTAGAATTTGGGGTACTATGCATGAAAAACAGAATTTAGGATTCTGCAAATGAGTCAAATTGTGACCTTAATTTATAACTTAGCAAGTAATAAATGAAAAGCACATGGTCCCAGGATTTTTCACATGTGAGTAGCATAGAAGTTCTTTTTTGTATCCTTTTTCAACATAAACTCTTTGGCTACAGATATGCTAGATCAAAATTGAATCTCAAATAATGCTTCACGTGTAATAGGCTTGCATTGACTTATGACAGTGGGTTCTCATCTCCCATGATTTTTCATGGATTAGGGTAAACATTTGTGTATTGTTCCTTTGATAACAACCTTCTTTTATAGGAGTTTAGAGTCTAGAGCTACTCTGTAGCCTTTATATATGTGGACAAAAAATTGCTTGCGTCATTGTAGAGTGGAATTACCGCCTTAAACTAATGGTGAAATGATTTGCCTTGCGGATCCTAGCTGCAGAATGCAGGATACGGCTGATTCCTCGTTGATATCATTCAGATTAGTTCAAGTGATCATTTCTTTCCCACTCATGTCTTTCCCGCTCATGTCCAATTATTGTTGTGCTTCATTCTTATAATTCTAATTTAGTGCCTTCTTGAAAATTTCATATTGATCAGAGGTATTGAAATATAAATTTCTGCTGGAAAGTGGAAGCTAAAACTGTTTTTAAGACAATCTTTTGGTATTAATGTTGATCAGTTGGAAAAGGTAGTTGGAGAAAAATCTGCTGAAGTGGATTGGAGACGCTCAGTTTACTTGAATTTGATTGCGCACACTTCATATACTGTAACAGTAGCAATTTGCAGGTAAAGCTTTCATTATTATTCATTTCTTGCGTTAATTGCTTTTATTTGTTTTGCTAAAGCTCTGGTCTTTCAGTGTATAGAAAATTTATGGTATCATGTACTGGGCTGATACTTCTTGAATAAATGGGGTCTTTACTCTCCTGCCCTTTGATGTTATTGTTGTAGACATATTCTATCTCCTGCCCTTTGATATTATAAAATATAAGAGTGATAATAGCTCTTTCTCTTTTCTGATAATTAATAAATCCTCATCAATAAAGTGTGTTCAAATTACATAATGGAAGAATGAATCAACTCTGGCCAGTGGCCACTCAAAATCCCAGAGCCAAAATTCCAAAACTGAATCAACTCTAGCCACTCAAAATTCCAGATCCAAAATTCCAAACTCCATCTTTGAAACCTCAAATTATGCTAGGTTATTGACCAATCAGACCACTTCGTCTCGTAAATTTCACATGAGACACAGAACATTAAATTTGTAATAATTTGAAATGGAAAAGTAAATATAAGGTGTGAACCTTAAACTATTGAAGTAAGATGCAGTTAAAAAATCCTCTAAAAGAGAGCATTCCAATGCTGGAAAACCCTCCAATTTTATAACATCTCGATGTCAAGATGTATGGATAAGGAAAAAAGAATTTCGAGTTCTAAAAATAGTACATCTTATAGTAAATTATTTAGACCATCTATTTTAAAGATTTTCAAGTGTTCAGAGATCTACATGATTTGCTCGATTTTTGAAATTTTACTTTTCATAACTAGCCATTGAAATAGATTTTCAAGCCATCATAAGGTTTCCAACACCGGAACTACATCTCCAGACAAAATTTAGCTGTGTGTCAGTATAAGGAGGGCGCCTTATATAAACCTCACCCATTGGAAATATCAGCATACCAAAGTAGTCAATTTCTCTACACAACTATAGAGTCTTTCTGGAGGTAGTAAAGGGGATTCTGTGAGTCATATTCAATGCATAACAAGAATGAAAATCCCCAGTAACTTTTGTTCCCCTGCTAAAGCAATTGATTAAGCTCTTCCAACATGCTGTCAGTTGATCTCAAGGACTCTGTGAAGCACCTGAATATCTCACCATGAGCAGTTTGGGTTCCTAAGGGAGGAAGTCCCCATTCTTAAGCTCTTATGTTGTATTTATCTATATGCATTTGATAAGGTGGCATAACATGTTTTCATAATCTCAGATCGAGTTCTGTTATTTCTATTTTCCATTTTTAATAAATGGCCTTTGAAACTAAATGTTGTGCATATTGTACTAGTGTATGGTCTTCTGTGATTGCAGTTCCGAAACTGCTTGCACAGTGATTCTACATGGCTTTTGACTCTTAAAAAAGTGACATCGAGAGGAATGATTATATCATTTTTTTTTTCTTTTTTCGTTTTTTATGCTCAAGTCATTAGTATGTAATATTTAAGACTAAGAGTTACTGTTTGAAGCTAAAATAAAAATGTTAAAAATAGCATATGCTTGTGCATTTTCACATGGGCATTAGCCCGTAAGAATCTGGATTCTGGATAGGATACTTGCTTTTTAATTGTTGCAGTCCATTTTCAGAGGAAGGATTTTGATTTTTTTTTTTTTGACATCTCATAAATTAGTAACCTCCTCTTACATATAGTTTTTGTTGTTTTAATCATTTATAACCTCTGTTAAAAAACTTCCATTATGTGCGTCTTTGGTATTTTCAATTTAAGCTCTTTCTTATGTTTATGATTCTCTGGCATTTGAATGTTGGATTTTAATGACACTATAAACACCAACCCTCTATTTAACATATTGATGGTAAATCTACTTTTGGCTTAGTATTCAGGCCTTGAGGAGCCATCAAAAAGGGGCAGATACGCCATTATCTCCAGTCTATAAGGTGCATTCAAAAAGTAGTTCCTTTGTTGAAAGCTCATTAGTAATGGTAAAAATGTTGATATAGAATTGCTAAAGGTTTATTCTTTTAGTACACCACATGTATCTTTCTAGCAAAAGTGGATCCTGAAATATGCGATAAATTGGTCTCTAAAGTTTGCTCTGATTTACCTCTCGAAAGAAAATTTCGGTGTTGAACTTGCAGCCAAAGTGTCTGTTTTGATGACAGTTCCTTTAATGCGTGCTGTTTACAATAAAGAAACCTAAATATTTTTTTTCTGTTCTCAATTCTGACAACACTTCTATTATTTGCATGTATATAACAGGTGACAAAGACCGTCTATGCATCTCCAAGTCGTGTTGATTTTCAGTTGGACTCAAGAAAGGTCCATGCAATAATTCGATATAACACGTTGCATATGGATGTTTTCAAGATACTTTCCATGCTAGAGTAGTGCATAGTAGTTAATTTTTAGTGGTTTTGGTGTCCCTTTTTCTACTATTTGATAATTATCAAAACATATCTCCATTTTCTGATATTCAATTTGTTGAATCGTTTCAGGATGTAGAGACACTCCCTGCATATCCTAATATTTGCTTTGCTGTTGATGACTTTGATGCCACTTTTGATGCTGTGGTAAGATGCTTATCAGCTATAGGGCTGCCTGGCCCGGCCCGCTTCGGTGCCCCTGGCCCTGAAAAGCTAGGACTGTGGCGGGCCGGGTTAAGCACAACCAGACCCTTGTTTTTCTCCTCCTTTTTTGTTTTTGCCCCCCCCCTTTGAGTGTCCATCCTGGACACAGCCAGGGCCTTTTCGCACTGTCCAGGCTGGGGAGGCTTTATAGGGACCTGGGCCAAGGCTGCTAGGCCCAGTCCTTATCTGATGTTATGAAATGACCTTTCGATCTTCATTGAGAAAAATTCACTGCTTTAGGTTTCTTACTTGTGTTATATTTCATGCTCCTTGGCTTATGTTTATTGATTGCCTATGTTTTCCTTTTTTATGGTTTGACTTCTCTAGATATCATATGGGTTTTGTTAAAATTTCTATCAAGATTCATTTGTTTTGCTATCTATTTAGGTGTGTTAGCAGGTCTGACTTCTGGACCATTTAAAAGAAAGGTGTAACTAAAATGTAAGCTCAAGCGAAGCAAGTGAATGTGCTTAGTTGATAGGCTAACAATGAAATAAGTTTCCTATGTGAAATATAACAGATGTATCCATATCATGTTTTGAAATGATATATTGAGCACTTCATCAGGTCCCATGGTATTTAGGGAAATGATAGTATGTTTTGCAAATAGAGAGTTTGTTTCCTGAATTTTGAAGTCTTGATTTTGTGGTTTTTACTCTGGTTTTGTTGCATGATTTGTTTTATGGGCTTTAATTTGATATCATCTGAAATTAGAGTTTGTAGTATGTGATCACAATCTTCTATCTGGTAGAATTGTTGTGGTGCATGACTGAGACATGATGGCCAACATTTGTTGAAAAAAACAAACAGACACAAATGTGACACGCTTTTAAGAATTTTTTGGGAGGTTGTTGTAGCAAAGATATTTTGTACAATAATAAGGTATCGTCTTTGAAATAGTAAAAAGGTATGAGGAATAGTCTCTTACATGTATGTATATTTTGATTTCTTTGTCCAGGTACTGTCTGAATTCGAACATTGCTACTGTGTTCTTCTTAATGCACATGATGGAGCAGCATTTCCTAATGAAAAGGCAACTGAGGGAAGCTGCTCTAGTGATATCTCAAACCATGACAAGGATTCGGGGAAGCCAAAGACTTCGAAGGTTAGAGTTATTCTGTCACGGTTTTATGTCCTCATTTCTTACAAGTTAATCTTTTCTTGCTATACAAAAGGGTTATCATGCTGAGACAGTTTAGAAAGTTGGAACAGGTTCTCTGGATATTCCAACCATGTATTTCTCTTTTTCGTTTATTTTCTTAATGTAGTTGCCTACATGATTTTCAGCTGTGTGGTTTTGGTGAAATCTTTGCACTTGAAAATTTTATGTTCAGTACGACAAAAGCCAATGAGAAGGCGTTGCAAGCCATGATTTCAGCTAACATAGTAACATGTTCTTGCAGCTGACCCTCTTTTCTGGATTTGTCAGCTATGAGATGGTTCGGGAAGCATATGATGGTATACACTACATTGCCTTGTAATTTCTTGATCAATTGGTACTTTTGACAATTGTATTGCACTAAATCAACACATCTATTTCAACATACATCGCAATTATAAATAAGCTTTTTCCTTATAACTTGGTTGCAAGTTTTGTTCATAAGGATGCCAAATACAAAGAATGGTATGAGACTTTCTCAAAATTTTTTTTTACAAAGAATGGCATGAGAAGATAAAATTATTTAAACCCCGCGTGAACTGTGAAAGCTGCATCTGGAAATTTCTACATATTTATGCATGATGCTCATGTTCGGTTTTAAACTAGCAAGCAGCCAGTCCCTACAATGGATGTGTTGGGAGGGAGGGAGGAGTTTGTTTTTCTTAGATATACAAGTTACATATTTAAAACTGAATTAGCGACAAGACAAGAAGGGATAGAATTTGAAATGAATACATTCGGGAGAACTTAGGTGTGGCTCCAAGAGACGATTAGATGAGAGATAGTAGACTTTGGTCGTCTGGCCATGTGCAGCGTAGACCCAGTACAACACTTGTTAGGAGGTGCGAGTTGGTTCAAGTGGAAGGCTAAAAAATGGCAAGGGATAGGCCTAAAAGGTCATTGTTGGAAGTAGTGAGAAAAAATATGGGGACTTATGGCCTCACTTAGAGTATGTCTGTTGTTAGAGCAGAATTACAGACCAAGATTAGTGTAGCTGACCCCAAATAGTTGGGAAAAGGCTTTGATGATAATGATGACATATTTAAAAATATAATTTTTATTTTTAAAAATTATATAAAGTAATTTTATAAGAATAAAGCTTAAGTGCCAGGGATGTAGCCAAAATTGAAATATTTTTGGATTGCAATCCAAAAATCTTGTGAAATGGACTTTGACCTGTTTGGAAAACTGTTAGATTTTACTAGATTTTTAGATTGAAAGAAAAAGCCATATCAAGGGAAAAGTTACCATCCAAAATAATTCAAGTCAGACTTGAATTTTCTTAGATGAAAGTGCGGCCTTCTCTCACCCGTGAAAAACACTAGCCTTTTCTCTCATATCACACCCATGGGAAAACCCCTTCTCTTCTTAAATGGGGAGAGCATTTTCATTTTCTCTCTCTAAAAAAATCTATAGAAGCTCAAAGCCCATCCATGGCAAGCCCTAGGCAGCATCTTTGTCAGCCCAAGGCCCCTTCTCTTTCTACAAAATGAGCCTTTTCTCTTATACCACACCCATGGGAAACCCTTTCTCTTCCTGAATTAGCAGAGCGTTTTTATTTTCGCTCTCTAAGAAAAGCAGACAAGATGAAGCACCATCCCTGGCAGGCCCTAGGCAGCATCTTGAAGCCTCCTAATTAGTGCATCCAAAGACTTCTTCTTAGTGTTCTGCTTCGCTACTCTCACCCCAAAGCCCCCAAACAATCTCTTTGCCCTTGAATCCCTCATCTTCTCTGAAATTGCCACCACTTTCCTGTAATCCAAAGCCCCATAACTTTTCTCTTTACTCACTGGATTTAAGAAATTCTTACCCGCTTTTATTCTTATCTCTTCTTCTTCGACCGATCATTAACGCTTGCCTCTCCTTCCATACCCATCAAGACTGCTTGTCAAGGACAAGCCAGAGTTAACCCTCATTTAGCCATTTTGCATGTGTGTGTTTAATAAGCCGCAGTGTGAATCAAGGGAATCAACATCGAACCGAGCTGAGCCGAGCCGAGAGGTAGGGGGGGCTTTTGCGTATGATCTAAGAGGGCTTCTGAGAGCCCGGACGTGTCCACGAACCCAAACCACGACGAGGTACGTGCTTGAAACCCTCACTGCACTAAAATCTCCCTCATGTTGGTCACCTATCCGCATGCACTATTGCACGCGGTTTTTCGAGGGAGCGGTCCTCGAACCCGAGTGGTCGACATCGAGGCCCAATAAGCTGACGATTCCACTGGGGACACATCACCCCAAAGTCAACCTGGTTTGCGTGACCACACACTGCACACTTCTTCCCACACTTTCTAAGATGACACTGGGGTTCTTCAACTCCTACTTCCAGGTCGGGGATTTCATGATCCCCATACCTAGAAACTTGTCCACTGGGAATGGGTTTCCCAAAACTCCACTTCCCACTTTCCCCTTTCGTGCAAACTCGACTGCACGCTTCTAGGCCCCGGCTCAGACCCAGGTGAGGAGGGACCTGAAGGTCCCTCACTTCTGCCCTTCTTGCACCAGTGGCCTTGCCTCTGGTGTTGCTTGCATTGGTGGCCCGAAGGCCACCCCTTTTGTCACTCACCCTGCGACTGGTGGCTAGCCCATTGGTCCTATTGCTCGGGGCAGCCGAAAGGCTTTCCCAGTCCCTCTCACAATCGGCAGCCAACCTGCTGTTGCCTCTATGGGCAGCTGAATGGCTTCCCCTCACGTTCCACACGCGCGTGTCTGCACCTTGCCTTCCGCCGCCCCACTCACACACCATACACGTGGTTCGTCTGCTGGCCCTGCACAAGTGGGGTGTCATAAGGTGATCCCACCCACTCACTCATCTCAAGCTGGCAACCCAGTTGCCGGTCAACACATAGGGGAAGCCCTAAGGCTCCTCCCTTGCACACACTCCAAAGGACTAGCGGTCCATCCGTTGGTCCCTCTTCTCGGGGCATCCTCTGGCTGACCTCGACTCACTCACGTGCGCCGGGCCTCTTAGGACCCGGCCCTACATTGAAGGTCGGCCTGAAGGCCACCCCACCCACCATACTGCATAATCACTTTGCTCGGGGTGCTCAAAAGCCAAATCTCAAAGAGCACAAGACCGACGGGCCACCTGTCAGTCGCAACCGCACATGCCTGTGCACAAGGTGGGTGGGGATCACAAGGCCACCGCTCCACACACACTGCAAGGCAGGGCCAACACCTCTAAAGCTGGGCCCTCTACCCCAAGTCGGGTCAGCCACAAGGCCACCTGAAGCACCCCTTTTGATCTTGCACACGCACGCGAGCCAACCACTGCCTCGAGCGCCGATGGTGTGAACCCTCTCCCGCTCATTTCCCTCCTCCCCCTCCAAAACCCTTAACCACCTGGTACTCCAAAACCTTCTCGGCGAGTACCCTTCTCACCACTCCCAAGAACTCCCATGCACTTGCTCACCCCAAAGGGCAGGCTCGGAGCAAGATTTCTCCGCCCAAGAAACTCGGGTCGCCCCCATCTCTCCCCATCAATCAAGGGCCCTTCAAGGTGGCCCGAAACCTACTCTCTCAGGTTACCATACTTTTCCTCAACTCATGGAGGTGGCCCTGACCTGTCTAAGGAGGGAAAACCGCCTCGAGTTCCCCTCTTAGTTCCAATTCTAGGAGAGGGTCTACTGGAACTTACGAATCCGACACAAGAGGGGTGTGCGGTTTCCCTAAGGAAGAAGGTCAAGGCACCTCCCACGTCCAAGCCTCGCGACCTCTTAAAGAAGAACCCCTTCTACCTGCTGCGAGCGGTACCCGAATTGAAAACACCGGAGGTGGTCCAATGCATGCTCATTGAGGTCAACGAGGATGAACCTCATCCCCCGAGCCCGCGGTCCTAAGACCGTCGTGAACCGATGGTGCCCTCAATCAGGCTCAAACTCAGTTGGAGCACCCTCGGCCTCTCTGACCAGCCATCAGGTGTTATCGAACCCGCACCGTCCCCTAGACGCCCCTGGAGAGGGCTGATGTTATGGTAATTGATCATACTGAGGATCCCCCTCAAGTCCCTTTGCCCCAAGACCCAATCGCTCAAGTCAATGAGACCCTTTGGTCAATTCTAGACTGTCTCAAAGAGGTCTAGAATGGCAGACTCCAGGCGAATTCGTGTCACCTTGGGGTCACCTCACCTCCATCACCCCCTTCTGTGGGCGAGGAACATAGACCATCACCTCCTCCAGCAGCACAAACCCCTCCCCTCCTAGCCACTCCTATCCATTAGACCATTTCCCCCGCATTCACCCAACAAGATGTATAGGCCATGGTCAACCACACCATTTGGAGCCTGCAGATCCCTGGTGCATCCGAAACAGCTTCGTATATCCGACCTTCATCTACCAGCTCCTGTTCCTATCCACTTACCAAAAGGGCAGGCTGCCGGTCTTCAATGGCACACTTTGTGTCCGCATGTCAAGACTTAGCATTTGATAGTAGGCTACTCCTCCAGATGGACCGGCCTTCAAATGGTATGCACGGTTACCACCAAACTTGGTCCACTCCTGGGATGAAATGGAGCACCTGTTCTACAAACGCTTTTATGAGGTTGAGCAAGAGGTGCATGCCATAGAGCTCCTTACCATGACTCAAGGACCGAATGAGCCGGTGGACAAGTTTATCCAAAGGTGGAGGGATTTGGCTGTGTATCCAAGTAACCCCATGCCCAAATTAGATGCAGTTTAGACCTGTGTTTGCAACATGCAATCGGAAATCTCTCTGCATGTTGAAGCCTCGAACCCACTTACCTTCTCCGAGATGATCTCAAAGGTGGTGTGCATTGAGTGTCTGTTTAAGCATCATGGTGATGCACAACCCTCGAATGGAGGAACAAATCGGAACTCTGACAATAACTGCCTTGGGGCAATCAGCAAATAGATATGGTGAGCGCCTTAGTCACTGCCACACCGAACAACCCGAGGCCGCCTACTGGCCCAGCTCCCCTCCAAACCTTGGACATGTCCCGAGCATACTGCAACCCAAGCCCCTAGGAGAACCTCAACAAGCGCCCCAACAGCCTCAAGCCTACAATCGGGTGCCCCCGCCTGCGAATCTTTATCAAAAGAACATTTTCGAGGAAAGGAAGAGCATGAATTATAGCTTCAACAAGGAATGGGTCCCGACCATCCTCGATATGTTATTGGAACAAGGAATGATCACCTTCCCCGTGGCAAGGAGGCTGGATGAAGTTGGTCTTACCAACAACAAGAAGTATTGTGGTTACAACCGCATGGTGAGTCACCCAATTCAGGAGTGCTTCATCCTTAAGGATCACATTGAGGCTTCGTTCCAGAAAGGGCAGATCCACT